ACCCCAGGGAATAGACAGACCCCACCCTGGGACAACAGTTCCAGCCAAACCCGGTTTTGTGAATTCTGGGGTGTCCATTGGCCTTGAGGGGAAATGGACTCCAATGACTTGGCTGTGAGAACCAACATCAAGGTCAAGATCACTGGTGAGAGGCAAGTGTGAACTGCAGCTTACTTATGATCTCACTGACCATCTCAGCTGCATTGGATGTGTTCAGTGCCTCTCCGTCTTCTGACTGACCCTATATAAAACACCTGCACTGATTTTTCACCTAGAAGTCATCTTAGCTTCTTACAAGGATAAGGACTGATTATAGCTAAAAAAACAATGTCTCTGCCCTTCTCACCCCTCCCCACATCCCTCATCTGCACCCAGACCCTAAAATGAATGTTCTTGGCCCTTCTCCCCACTCCTCCATCACAGGCAATTTTCTTTTTCTCGTTCATGTTTCCAAAACAGTTTATCTTTTTATCTCCTTGGAAGAAAAGTACCCCACAAATCAAAGGTATCATTAGTATTGTTATTATTTTGCTATTGAAATCTCTTGAATTCACTCTGGATTATTCATGTGCTTTTTTTGGGTCTGCAGTATAATACTGCCTAAGTCACCCCCACTGGGCTGAACAAAAAAGAAAAATTGCATCTTCAGGCCTAATCCCCTGCTCCACCCCATCTCCTGCTGGCCCTGGCTTCTACCAACACAGGCGCACACCAGCAAGGCTGCTCCTTGGTACCATGCCTAGCTCACTGCCGCCATGTTTCAAGCCAGATCCTTCTTCTGCATGGTATCCTTTCAGTGCAATGCAAAGGCGTGACCACACCCACAACCCTGTCCCCCTGGGGAGTTTTCTTTCCATCCTCAATGGGTCCAACTGACAACTGAGGGCTCCCTGTTGGGCAGCAGACACTGCAACCACCCCAAAACCCAACAAGCTTGCCCTCCTTCCCCTTCTCAGTGGATGTGTTAAAGAAGTGGTCTCACACCCTTGGAAGCTGTTCACTGACCTTCCTGGACAAAAGAAGTGGTTCTTCCTCTCCTAGAAAAGTAATACCACTTGGGGTGTCAGTGGCAGGGAAAAGCACACTTATTACTTGTCTCCTCTTTTGTTATTTGACATTTCTGGATTAGGTTAAATGTTTCTGAAGTTGCTGCATACTCCCACTATCCTTTTCTGATCCTTCCTGCCCCAACCCCTTCCACTCCTCTCCATTCTTTGGGCTGCCTCTGATGTGCCCAAGCTGTCCTCTGATGGCCCCTCTTTCTCTTCTCCTCCCTGTGCTCTTGGCAAGTTCAAGCTTCCTGCAGTAGCTCCTCCTTTCCATGCTTCCTGCCACCTCTCCCTTCCTGCACTCTGGTCAGCTCTCTCCACCCACTCTGTTTCACCCTTCTTTCTGTTTCATGTTCTTCTGTTCCTTTGGAGACCCAGGTTGTCGTGAACCTCTGCCATTTGATGGCCACCTGACTCTCCTTCTGATGTTTCCTGCCAATTGAAAGAGCATGTGAGCTGCTTTGATACTTCCCAAAAGGGAGATAGCACCCAGATGAATCCTCAGCTCAGGGATGTCATCAGGTAAATGCAAGTTTTTACTTTCACCTCAATATATACAGAGCAGCACAGTGCATATGCAAAGCCAGTAAGACATTTTGCTTCAGTAGAATTAGAAGCTTGGGAGCTTCCAACTCACTAGGCAGGACAGGACCCTCTGGGAATGCCAAGCAGAATGTTAGAGAGTAGAAAAAATGTCATTCTTGGGGCATCAATTCTGCAAGGCTGCATATACCCCTAAACTATCTCGAACTTGAAATGTGATGGGAAGCAGGGAGTCGTCAGTCCTGCTGAGACATTATTCCTCCAAAGCTACCTAAGATGTGCACGGGCAGGCTGGGTGGAATAAGGCTTGAAGATTGAGGAGATCAGGGAAGGAAATAGTGGTGGGTGAACTGAAATGATAAAGGGAAAAAATATAGCAAGTTCTAAGTTTATGGATGACAAGAGAATCGATTCTTCTTCACCCAGGGGCAGAACATACCGTTTCTCCACAGGAGGCAAATTGTGCTGTGACATTATCCCTCTCTGAACAAAGCACAACCATCCTGACAGCTGAGGAAAGAGACATCCCCAGCAAGAAAGAAACCCACAAACAACACACACTGGCAGCTCTCCATTCCCCCATTGGGAGCCAAGCCCAGGGACGTTGGCAGGGGTGGGAATGGAAGAATCTCATTTAGCCTTTCTACTGCCACCTTAAGAAAGATAAAGAAATATTTGATTTTGATATACATGAGAAGCCCAAAGTTTGAAGGAACAAAGGACACAACACATTACCGACACTGATGATACATTAATTTCTGCTCCCTCTCAAGGGTCATGGAAAAATGTGAAGGTGAATAAATACTCAACAAGCAAGAGGGAAAGGGTGGTTGAAGTGAACTTTAAGAGTTCATGTACATGTTTGTTACCAAAGTCCTCAAAAACACTGTTTGAGTGCTCAGGACCCTGGGAGCAAGAACTGAGGAACTGTGTTTCCAGAATTCACACTGTGAGGAGTTGGGTAGCAGATGGCCATGTCACCAAAATGCCAGATAAGGCCCTTAAAAGCCCCTTGAACACTTGTTTTCTCTGAGAAGCCCCTTGAACACTTGTTTTCTCTGAGAGGAGGGCCATCCTAAGCCTGTGCCCATTTCTTTGGAAAAGCATCAGGAGTATGGTGCACTCTGTGGGAGGTGACAGGGGTTATAACCTAGATATCAGTGAGATGGACCCCAGTGGTGGCCAGCTAGAACCATGTGGGCTAGTCCTCCCATATCCCCTTGAAAACGGATATGCTGTACCCAATAACTTTATGAATGCATGACACCATGTATGGTGGGGACAATAAGTAAGCTAGGCACATATATATGAAGAAGGTTGAGTAGAATCTTCTAGGGAATTCATAAACAACACCCATGTTTTAAAAAGTGCCCACAGATCAAAGTCAAAAGACATTCATATCACATCACAACAAAGTGCATCAAACATCTTCTCTCTTGACTCTTAATTGCTCTAGCGAGATGCTGTCTGTTCACCAGACTTATGGTGTCCAATGAAGGAGCCAATTCTGACTGGCTGTGTCAACTGTGGTCCAGGGTCTTTCTTGAGACCTGTTTGGACACCTGTAGATTATGCATCTCATCACTTAGTAGGGTGGGCAAAGCTGGCTAAACTCAAAACACTCAGATGAGGTGAATTGCATGATGGTTTCTTCCTGCTGCCTTCAGGGCAAGGGTATATGAGACAGAGCATTTAGCCTTTGTAGGTAAATATTTAAAGATTCATATTAGGCAGTCAAGAAATAGCTTGGTACTGAGAAAAGAATAAGCCTGTAGAAGAGCATGCTGTAATGATTCAGACAGGCAGGGAGGCACTTAGAGACCTATAGGATTCTCATGGTAATCTAGAGAAATGCAGATCAAGCTTCTAAAAATACAAGAGATTGACTAAAACTTTCACTAGTCCCATACAAATGTGTGTGTGTGTGTGTATGTGTATATGTGTGTACACATTCAAGAAAGGGTAATCTCACAAACTGGTAATGTAACAGAATCTGTCTCTATACTAGTGTTCTGGGATAGTTCTTACTCATTCAGCCTGAAAACTCTGGGGAAGGCAATTTATCTTCTTGCTGCTGTAGGGAGTCCTGGTGAGATGCACACAACCATTTGAATACTGGAGTGTGCATATGTATGTACACATCATAATTATGCACAGACATGGGTATACATGGGTATCTCCTGTGGGAGATGGGCCCCGCAAGTTTCATCAGGAGGGTCAATAGCAAAGTTTAAGCTTCACAGATAAGGGGAAAACATGCAGCGACCACAAGGACCAGTGGAAGGAGTGGCGGGAGAAGGCCTGGTTTTGCTTACATTTGGCTTCTTCCTGACAGGGGAAGCAAGGAACACACGCTGTTTGCTTGTCAAGGCAGCCAACCATGGTGACGCTCTGCTTTCTCAAAAACTTTTACCCTTCATTTAATCAACAGATGGACATGCTCTGTTGTGGATTTTTTCTGAGAGAGTCCTGTCCCTCTAAGAGCTGTACTGGCTGGCACAAATGCTGCTTCAGATGGCAGAGGCATCACTGGCATTCCAAAAGAGTGGGAAGGAACCGGCTTACTTGTCCCCTTCAAACTCAATTCCACAGGTGACTTTTGACACCTTTATCTAAGGACACAATCACAGTCCTTCTCTAGAATTTTCCCTACCCTCCCTCCACCCAGACCAAACCAGCAGCTCCCAGTGGCAGAGAGCCCAGAAGTGGTAAAGTTCTTTCCTGAGAGTTCAGCCGCTTCTCTACCCCTGCCAGGCTGCAGAAAGGAAACAATCAGCACCAGGGGCGAAATTCCATTTCATACCCTGAATCCAGTGCTGGGTAGGATTCAGAATTCAGCCTTATTCAGGGAACTCGGTGACATTCAATGCAACTCTATAGCCTTTCTCTGACCATTGCAAATCACCCCCAAGTACATCTCAGAACAGCATCCCCTTCTGCAGCTGTGCAAGCCGCACACACTCCCTTGTGAACACACACAGGCAAGTTGGATCTTTTTGGAGCTGCATCTTCTACCTAAGCAAAGCTAGGGTTCGCCAACCTGGATGTGAAGAGGAGGCACGCACAAGTTCCCAATAGCATGGCCACATAGATACTATCTAATTAACATACTGGGTGCATAAAGAACTCATTTGCATTGGCGAGTTGGAGTTGGATGCTGACGAGTGAGAGGAGAAAGTCGTTCCCTCTTTGGCCCTCCCAGCCCCTTCCTTCCAAAGGAGAAGAAACAGTACCATGTTGTTGCCTTTGCAAAGGCAACGAAGCCACACCAGTGCCTCTCGGCCGGTAAGGAGAGACGCATCAATCAGTTCGAGTTTCCCAAGCCTGCCCACAGTGCTGCCCCTGCTTCCCGCGCCCCCACAACCCGGCCGACTTTGCTCCAAACTCCGGCAGGCGCACAGCTCCTACCTTGACTGAAGAGGAAGAAGCAGAGAAAGAGCAAATCGAGCTGGAAAGGTTTCATTCCTCAGCGCGGCGAGGCAAGCCGGCGGGGCAACTTGGGTGTGCAGTTAGTTTCTCTTCAAGCTCGGCTTGGCTCGCCGGGCTCAGCCTCCGCCACCGGTCCTTGGTCCTCTCCGGTTCGCGCCGACCATCTGTCTGTCCGTCGGTCCCTCCTGCCCGTGGCAGCTTCGGTCTCTTTGTGCCTCCGGGTATCTGCAGCCAGCCGAAACAAATTGCCTGATTTTAGCCGCCTCGGGAAGCCGGGATCCTCAGCAATGTCCCCACTCGGAGCAGATCCATTCTCTGGTTCTTGGCATCCCAGGCACACGGCTTCCTCCAGCCGGCTCCTCCCACAGCGAGCGAGTGAGCGAGTGACGAGTGACAGAAGGGCTCCTTTCACTGAAGCTGGGGCGGGGGGAGAGGGAGGGGAAACAGGTCATAATTAAAGAGGAAACACTTGGAAAAAGGAAAGCTTTGCAAAACGGAGGGTGGTGGTGGGGGGAAGGCTGCCTTCTTTCCTTCTTTTCCCCAAACAGGGAGATATTCAGCTTTTGTCACCATTATTGACTAAAACAGCATCGTGAGCACGGAGCGGAGCTGTGACTTTTTGTCCACACGATGTGATGTTGTTTAACGGGATCGAAGTTACGGGTGATTATATCCATGCACATGCATTAAAATGTGCAAGCATTGCTTTTGCACAAGGGACTGGAAACTGGGCTGAGAGGCAGCTGGTGGGGCGGGGTGGGGGGGGAGGCACATCTTTCTCCAGCAAGGACTTGGCCAATGTGTGCAGCGGGAGGCTCCGGAGTTGAGGAGATAAGCATGCTTTACATTTTTAAGACTTTCCTAGGAGGGTAGGTAATAAAACCTGACCGCTTGGATCTTAGTTGGCTTCTTACCGCTCCTAGAAAACAAAAATGCAGGCAGGAGAGCAAAAACAAAGTAGGTTTGTGACACATACCCATTTATTATTATTATCCTGGTCTGTGCATTTCCTAACAAGGACAGGGGAGCAGCCTGTCTTTGCATTTGGAGCCTCTTCCCCAATTGTGAGTGTGCCTTTTCTCTAACAGGTACTGTGAATCTGATTGCAAAGGAGAGGCCAAGGTCATAGGCAACAGCTTCCTAAGAACCTCCAGGTCTTTTACCTGTCATGAAATCCATACTCAAGTCAAACTGTTTCCTCCAGTATATCAACATGAATGTATCTAGGTCTATTTACTTGGTAGACATTTAGGCATGCCTGGAATAAGCCAGCCATAAGGGGAAATAAAATAGTAAATACAGACCATGTCTTCAAGGAGCTCATCATGAAGCATGGAAGCACAGCACACACACAAGACCCAAACTCTAAGTATATTACAATGTAACATGAAAAATAAGCTGTGTTATATGGAGTGGGCGCACGGGAGGTAAAGAGGAAGGAGAGGAAAAGGAAAGATGCTCTTTCTATATGTGCATTCAACATTCAATTACAAAATCAATCATGACCTCCTTCAGTCACTGGACCTTGGGGAGCTCTTTTGGGAACCTCTTGGCCTTTTCTTCCATCAGGATCACAGATGGTGTGGGGTGGGGCTTTGCTGGCTGCAAAGCACATTCCAACTCAAATTTCCACATGGATAATAACTTAAAAATGATCCCTTAGTATTTATGAACAAGTAAGAAGGAAGCAGGAGCATATGCAAAAGTGTACACTGGCAGGAGCTGACACCTGGTAGTTGGCATCAAGGAGCTATAAATTAGTAGGTGTCTGCTTTGTTGACTTTTCTATTCTTAACTTAATAGTTTATTTAACTGAATCCTTTAAAGACTGTTAAACATATCAAAGAGAAATTTGTAAGCCAGTTTGGGGGTGGGGGTGGGGTGAAGGAAATGCTGAGCAACAGAAACTAAGAGGACACAAAAGAGGCAACCCATCAGTTAAATTAACAAAGAAGGTACAGAAGCCCCCTTGTCAGCACAGCCTTAGTCTATTAGCTTGGTATAACAGATAATGCAAGGGAACACAAGAGGTGAATCAGAAACACGCACAAAAGATGGATAATAATCTCAAACAACATATGCCAAATAGCATATTACAGCTGAAAATACGGAGTGTATGGTGCTGTAACACGAATAGGAGTTCTCCATTAAACCTACAGGGTCAGGAGGAAATGAGAGGTCTGGGTACCTCTCCTAAGGCCAAGACTCGCAGTGAATGAAATTAATATTCAAATGTGGATGGGTACCTGCCTGAACAACATTTGATGTTTTAACTAAAGATTCATTCTTTAAGCTGTTGTTTAATTTTCATTGCTAATTCCTAAATGGCCCAGGGCCCAGATTTACTAAATGCAGCCCTCCTGGGGAAGCATTACAAAACCAGGATCACGAGGGTATGCAATACAGGGCAATCAGGGACACGAACGCCCGCCATGCTCAAGCTCACTCTGGGGAACTAGAAGGGGGAGTGGGAATCTGAGGTTGGAAGGACCTTGTTTCACTCTCCCACTGGTCCCCGCCTCATGACTCCGTCCGCTCTCACTCTAACCAGTTGGGTTTGATCCTTTTTCTACTTCCCTCTGTCCCCTTCCCACAGCCTCCGGTCTCGCTTGGATTAAGTAATGAGCTCTGTCAGCCTCAAATGACCAACACTGAGTGCCGGAAAAGCCACGGCAATCTTCGGCGGCCACCACGTGGAGCAGAGAACACCAGCGAGCGGTACCTGCAGCACCCACAGCCAGCCGGGCTCTGGCGCCAGCCCCGACGGCGGCCACGCCATCTCCGCCCGGGCGGCCTCACCTCCTCCGGGGGCTGGGTTAACCTCCTGGCGCTGCAAGGAGTCCTGAGCGCAGTTCCCTGGTTTCGGAGGAGGAAGGAGGGAGGCCGCGAGGAGAGGACGGCTCCACCTGATGGAGAAGCGCGGAGAGTCCTTAGACCTTGGAGTGCGCTGAGAGCCGAGGCAGAGAGGGGGGCCGCGGTCCCTGCAGCAAACCTCCGCGTCTAGGGGGATGGCGCGCGGGGGACAGGCACAGATGTCTCTGAGCGCAGCCGGTGGAGCTGGCAACCCTAGAGGTAGCAGAAAACAAGCAATTTGGAAAACCGCACAATTTGTGGTTTTCTGCACATCTATGCTCCAAGTCTCTGTTGCTCCAAGTCTCTGTTGCGCCCAGGGTGCAAACCGGGATCCCTCACCAGCAGGTGGCATCCTCTCCAGCATTTCTTTTCCAGGCTTGTAGCCCTGGACAGAGACTTCATTAGTACCCAGCCGCACTCCCCAGGACTTCAGCGCCAAGTGTGGTGGCCTTTGAGCCCTCACCCCACCCCCATCCCGGCGGGGCGAAAGATGAAGGGATCTCCGAGACCCGCGTGGAGGTCAGAGCCAACAGAGAATAGAATTGGCTCCAAATTCTCCTGCTTGCTGGCTACGAAGTTACAGAAGGGCAAGGCTCCACAGGACAGCTTCCAAGCCCTGCTTTCTGGCAGCAAGCCTTTTCCCCAGGGCTTTCTGAAATGTGGGACAATGAAGGATGCCTGAGATTCTGAGTTTTGGTGCGAAGGTGAGGGGTACTGTTGTTTAGTGCCTTGAACAGGCTAGCAATCAGACAGAACCTGCAGACTCGGGCACATGCCCACTTTTCAGTGACCTTCGTGATTGTCAATCCAACATCAATCACATTTATTATTCTCTGGGTTTGTGCAAAGGCCTGTTTAGGTCACGTAAAGATTCGCGAAATGAATTCCTGTTCTTGGAGAGAAATATATAAGAAGTATACTTGGGGAGAAGTATACACAGGTATTTAAATAAGACAGAAGTTGATCTGGAGGTCATGTCAGGGCCCTTCCTTTCTAAATGAGCCCTTGCAGGAAGCTGCAGAGCTAAGATGCCAGTACAGGGCCCCAATCTCTAGCCAATGTCTCTGCTGTCGGCAGGGCTCTCTCCACTGCTTATACTGGGTCTGGCTCCCTCTGTCTTTCTGTGCGCATGGGTACCATCATCACCCATAAGGAGAGAAAGAGTGGCTCCTTTGTGAGACAGACAGTCATCACCAGCAGAGAATTTCCTGCTCAATACTCTTTGGAATATTTGTTGCACAAATACATTATAAACCACATTCTCTTTTTGTTTTTCATACATCATGCTGGCACTGGTTAAAATCTTGTTGCCCAGAGACTTAATGCATTTTGAATAGACCTCTTCTGGGAGTTCAGGGGAAGCTGACTCTCCAGTCCTGGGTAAGTTAATAAGGTCTTGAAGCTACATACACTTCCATAAACCAGTGGTCTTCTGAGGTCTTCTCTGGGTGGCAGCCATCTGACCTGTGCAGTCACAATCTTCTAACCTATTTCTTTTTCATTTCTCTGAACAACATTTCTTGCTCAAATCAGTATAGGTGGATTACAAGACCTTAACCCCTGCTCACTGTGGTTGGTTTCCCTATTGCAGTGGAAAGGGTCCAAAGAACCAGGTATTCAGCTTTTTAGAAAGAGCAGGATGTCTGTCCCTCTGGTTCATCCAACATCAGGTCCCACTGAAGGGGTCTTGGTGAGCCTTTGGATTTATCTCTAGCCTGGCCACTGCTAACCATTGTAGACATTTGAACCTGGGTGTATTTTTCTTCATCTGTAAAGTGACTGGTCCAAGCCAGTGCATATTCCAGGTCCTCTGGAATTCTGGATCCTCTTGTCTGTTTTCTGGAGGCCACAGATTTCAGCCTGGAGAGATTTGGAGTAGCTTCTCTAATACCATCAGTATGGGGGCAGATGAAGCAGATTATTTTAAGCCGTCAGTCCCCACCCACAAGAAACAGGCGATGGCTGTGAAATCTGAATGGGCCCCTCTGATCTCATGGGTTCCAACTTTCCATTAAACTCATGTTTATTCTACTCTGGGTACTTCATGTTTTCCCCAACTTACTCAACATGTGTGTATATCCCTTCTCTCTTTATTTTCCCCAGCACCTGGGTCATATCCAGTCCAGCTTCTGGGTTTCTAAATATATTTTCTTCAATATACATTCATTCTAACATTGCGTTGGTTGCAACCCTTTTATTAATATAAGGGAACAATGCCTCCAGAGTGACTAATTAGAAAAGACTTCCTTTGAAGGCACTGAAGACCATATTGCTTTGTACTTTATCTTAATGTTAATCACATTTTACTGTATAATGTTATCTTTTATGATACCTTGGGAACTCCATGATGGCAGAAACAGTGTCTCTCTAATTCACTTATGTCTCCAGTTCATACTCTGGTAGGCACCCCTTTGAATGTATGGCAAAGCTTTACCTACTGCCCCACATCCCTCTTCCTGTTTTCTAAATCAAATTTAACTTGTTCTTCACTCTGTTCTTAACTATTGTCAAACATCTGGCATATGCCTGCCACTGCTCTGGCTGTATTTTATTGGAATGGGTAATGAATTGAGCCTATATATAGTTTGCAAAATGTGGAACACACTTTAAGATGCATGGCACTATAGAAATGAAAGATATTTTTATCTCATCAGCATCATTCTGCACAAGAATATGATTCTCTGGCAGTACTGTTTAAGAACAATAGACCTGTTTAGCCTTGACACACTCAGGCATGCAGGGCATTGGGTATTCAATTCACATGGGAGTGGCATTATCTCTCTCAGCAAAGGCCTGAAGAGTGTACACTTAACAGGGAAGAAAAGATATGAGAAGCCTTATGAAAGGAGGTGGCAGTGCCCCCATGCCTTGTGTCA